GCAGAGGGGGTTTGGGGGTTTTGGGGTGCCGGGGGTCTCACCACGCGCTCGCTGCGCCGCACCGGGGCCGTGTTCCGCCTCTGGAGGGGCACAGCGGGGTCTGGGGGGGCCCGACCACCCGGCAGGGGGAAGGGTCCTGCCCGGGGGGGTCCCGACGGGGATTTGGGGGGCTCAGGGTCCAGCGGGAATATCGGGGGTGCGGGGTCCTGACATGGGGGTCCCGAGGGGGGGTCCTGTCTCCTGCTCGGGGGGGCTTGGGGGGGTTTCACCCCTTCCGTGGGGTCCCTGATCCTGCCCGGGGAGTTTGGGGGTCTCGAGGGGACCAGGGGGGTCCTGCCCGGGGGTGCTTCGGGAGTTCGGGTCGGGCTCGCGGGGTTTGGGGCTCTCGAGGGGGATTTGGGGGGTCTCGGTCCTGCCCGGCGGCTGCGGGGAGGTCGCGCCCCGCCCCCACTCACCAGCTCAGGCGGGGGCAGAGGTTGGCACGGTGACGTCACCTGGAGGAGGACACGGGGGTCATCCCAAATGGGACCCCAGCCTCAAATGGGTCCCCCCGCCCTTGGGTGACCCCCGTCCCCCGTCGTACCTTGCTCTCACATCTCTTGTGGGCGGCGACTTTGCAAACTGGGGGGACAACGGCGACATCAGGAACCCCCAGGGACCCCCCGGGGACCCCCCAGTACCCCCCCATACCCTCCCGCTGCCCCCAGCAACCTCCCAGTATCCCCAGTAACCGCCCACAGTCTCCAGTGAACTCCCCAGTGACCCCAGTAACCACCCAAGGAACCCCCCAGTGCCCCCAGTAACTCCCAGTGCCCCCAGTAACTGTCCAGTGCCCTCCCAGTGCCCCCCGTAACCTCCCCGGCCCAACCCCACTGTCCCCAGTAACCCCCCCACCCCATCCAGCCCCCCCGCTGTGTCCCGGGGCTGTCCCGGGGGTGTCCCGGGGCTGTCCCGGGGGTGTCACCTCTGCACACGAGCCCGTGGGGTCCCAGGGGGGTCCCGCAGCCCCCGCAGGGCGCCCCCCGGCGCAGGCTCCGCTCGCGGAACGCGTGGGGGGCGGCTGGGGACGGCCTTGGCTGGGGACACACGGGGGGGGGGGGTGACCCCCTGTCCCCCCTGG